TGATCGGGCCTTTAGCTGAACTAGCACCCCAGAACCCGTCGACCTGCAAGAACATGTTTAACCACAACAGAAAGATCAGATATTAACGTTTTTTTCTCCTTAATGTCCTGAATTGCACTTAAGAAGCTCAACTGAATATCTTATAGTCTTTTGTTTTTATAGCTAATTCTTTCATCCCATATTTACCCTTCCATGTATCGCAAAGGGCTGAGCCTTTGTCTGAGAGACGGAAAGGAATAGCTCTAAAGCCAGGCCCCGAGTCACTCTAAAGCAAGCTCATACCAAAGACTACCTCTGACTGGAAGAATTCAGTCACATTTTTAAGTCTAAGCAGTTAGTCAGAACCGTCAGGCTCCACCAGGAATGCTGTCACATCACAGGTAATGGTCTGCAGAATTCATTTTTCTAACGGGTCATTTCCAAATGTCGTGAAATGTGTTCAACCTCGTTATATTGAAGCCCTGTTGAAGGGGTGGTCATCACCGGTGCTGAAACGATGTGGCACGTTAGGCTTCCGCTCAGGGAAATTAGAACAACTTTGGCCATCGTGCTTTCGAGATCTGTGTGCTACCCTACCCTGCCTTACCCAGACTCCTCTGATAATTCACATCAGGGTCTTCGACAGCCCGCCTCAGGTTCACAACTGCTCTGCACCTGCAGGTGAAGTGTGGAACTAAATCGGTTTTTGCCAATGCTGTGATGTCACAACCCTTGAAAAAGAAGACTTGAATAAGCGTTGTTTCCTTCCTGATTTCTGTTACAGCTGCTGGCAGAGTTCACTGCGATTCTTTTTGTAAGACGGTTTATTTTCCCAGCCACTGTACTCCTGGGATTGACTGAAGCTCGGCGGACAGGAATATAGACCGGAAATTACTGCTGGGAGAACCTGATAACTCTTAGTCAAGTGCTCCCTTCCAGTGCCACCTGATCTGTAGCCTGTGTGAAGGAACAGCAGGTTCTGCAGAGACACTGGAATGGAATGTGCTGAGGTCATGTTGACAGCTCCTGCACCAAGAGCACACTCGGGGAATAATAGCACCTGAAAAACTCGTTAAGTCTCATACTTCTCTCTCTCTCTGTACTTTTGCCTGAGATCACTCTCCAGCTCCAGCAGGGCGAATGCGAGCCCTAGACGTTGGCACAAATGTGAGCTGGGAAGCTGGTCTGCAAAGATTAAGCTCCCTGAAAGGTGACGAGGCCTTGAAAGCGATAAGCATGTTTGCAAATAACCTGAGCCAAGAGGCTGGTGTCTTTGTGACACCTGCACATGAAGTTCCAATGAATTTATCTGATGAGAACGCGCTGCTCCAGTTGGTTTTGTAAAGAGAGGACAGCAGGCACCACTGGCAGGAGGATGGAACTTATAATCTCCCTGCGAAGAGTATCGAGCTCTGAGCGCTCGCTGTGAGCATGACGCCAGCCTGCTCATGCGGGCTCGAGCTTGTCCTTCCTCTCGGAGCCTGAGCGCTCTTCTGCGTGGGGTGTGTGAATGGCTTTCAGGGGGGACAATTAGTGCTCTGAGAGCTGCACCGAACGATGGGTTAGCTAATGGTATCAAATGCAGAACCTGCACCCTGTAATAATCATTATATAAGTTTCATGAAGAGGTGTTTTTTAAGACAAACTTTTATACACTTACAATAGCACACATCATCAATGCGACAAAATGGAAGAAAAGCACAGCTCGTTGTCTTTGTGAACCCGGGAGCGGATCTTTAGTTCTGAAGGGCCCCGACGACTGGCAATGGGACGTTTCCCTTAGACAGTACGTGCTAAACCATGCACAGCCGCCCAGAGCCCTGCCCGAGGAACAGGCCCATCGGCACCGCGCTGCTGCCAGGACACTGCACCTCTCCTGCAGGTCCCTCTCGAACTGCGGATTCCCGAACGGAAGCTTTGTTTGGAAGAGAGTGTTTTGAATAGATGCTGCTCATTTCAATGATGCTGCAGTGAGACCATGGTTGCAAAGGTGACAAAGAAGAAAAGTGTTTGTTTTTTTTAGTTTATTGCACCTTATTTATTGTGGGTTTTGTAGATGCCCCTCTTTACGTGCTGGGTTTGATCCTCAGTAATGTAGGGCACATCGGCCTCCTCATATACTGAGAAGCAGGGAAACCACAGAAGGGTCACAGCCTGGGTCTACATGGTTAATCTCGCTCACGTCAAACTCCTTAAACTTCCTGACACACAGGCTTTCCCAATACACTCCTGCTGTATATGCCATGAGCTCAGTCTGTGACATATAAACTCCACAACACAACATCATAAGGACCAAGCAGTCAGGACTGGTCACAGAACAGCGCGATTATTTCTTTAGTCGTTGGTCACACGATTCTCACTGCTGATGTGAAGACTCGATATTTGCCCATTCCTTGCGTGCAAACCCGTTACGTAATGGTTTTCAAGCTTTTTTTTTTTCTTAAGACTTCTAAAACATGTTGCTGGTGAAGCTGCAAAACGAGATACTGAGAATGTTTTCTCTTCACATGATTTTATTCTGTCCTGGGGATCTCGATGGAAGACCAGCAACAACACACATGCAGTGGGTCTCCATCCTTTAATACACAGTAGCTAAATGTGTGCAGGGGAATTCTGGAAGCCCTCCAGGGGGCACTATCTTTAACCCGCAGGAGAAATCTGATCGTGAATCAACAGGCACTGCAGTCCGAGCTCTCCGCTTTCACAGCGCCGAGGAGAGCGGGGTCAGAGACTGACGAGCGAGCGCGTCAAACGTTAGTTTCGACCTTTGAACTTTTCACAAGGACAGTCGGCCCCAGACCACACAGGAGCAGGCAGGGTTGGGATGCTTATCTCTGTGGTCCTCCTGTGTTTGTCTTAACTCGCGTCCGTCCCCGGAGATGCCCGTGTGCTGCTCTGATAAAAAAAGACGTATCTGTGTCCCTGCGATATGGCTTTGGTTAATGGAGGTCTGTCTCTCTTGGGCTTTCATGAGAAAATCCCCTTGCGTCAGGGGGTGATGCTAGGAGACCTTCTCATGAAAAAGTCTCACGGGACTGAGACTGAGACTGTGTATACCGTAGTTTGTGATATTTGAAGAGGCTCGACAGCGTGGGAGCTGCTCGTAACAAGGCGAGCTTAATTCCACGCTGGAAACCGAAAAAGAAAAATGCAACGTTTAAGTCTGCAGAGGCTCCTTCACGCACCAGAAACGTTGTTTGTCCTTCTCTCTGTTTTTTTTCTTTAAACCTGAAATTAATCTCTTGGCAGTGTGAGACTTTCATACACGTAACGCACTCAGTCCAAAACCTGACCAACAGTAAATTGTTTTTCCTCTGCGAAAGCCGGCGTCATGCAGTTTTATTTTTTTTTTCTAATGATAACCTGCAAGTCTCGTCGCGGCCAAAATACTTTTTTTTTCAGTTGCTGATAATAGCGCTATAATACGCAGCAGAGGAGAGACCCGTGACTGACACGGGAGGTCTATTCGCGAACAGGGTCTCGACAGCCTTCGACCCCTGAAGCAGACGGTGCCGCTCTCTCCGGCACTGTCGGTGCTCCTGCGCCTCATTTCTATTCCCGTCTTCCTGGAGAGGGGCTCGCCCCTCCGGCAGCGGGAGTCCCAGCGGTTTCGCCTCCGCTCCTGTGCGGGACGAGCGCTGCGCAAACTGCGCTTTTCCACATCCACGCTGGAGTGTCCGGTCTCGACTGCTTCGCCATCTGCGCCGAAGGCCGGTATAATATCGCACCGCTTTCAGCTGCGCCGCGGGCTGCAGAATGAAGCCGGTTGACAGAGCGACACCCGGAGAAGTTTCCGAATGACGGTGTCCGTGACCGGGGTCAGCGGGGCTCTTTCTCCATGGAGACCCGGCTGTGGTGCTTTTGTCCTTTGTACAGTTCGCACAAAACGCACAATGGAAAAACGCGTGTGTGCGTGCGTGTGCGTGTGCGCTCTCAGTGCCAAATCCTGTTCTTTCCTTTCGTTTCCAGTTTATGACCTTGGGCTTTTATCAGTCAAGGTCGGGTATTTTCACACGCTGCTTTAAATAGCTCTTCCCAAAGTCGTCCCCCCCACACCCCACACACTCACACCACTCCACTCCGAAATGAAGTGTTGACCAAACCTGAGAAAGAAAGCCCACGCCATCCCCAGCTGTAACATCAGATGTCTCATTATGCAAATAACCGCTGTTCTTAACAAAACAAAAAACACCTTGAAGCACTTTCAGCCACTTTCAGGTGACGGGTGGGGGCAGTTTCAGGCCATCCAGAACAGCGCAGAAGGAAACAGAAGAACCAAGCGCTGCTTTTTTGGACAATTTATCTTGCACTGCCTATGATCTTACGTGCACGCACAAATGGTTTATTTTTCCCTTCATCTGCTGCATTTATCCCAAGCCGTGTCCGCCCGGAGCCGGTTCCACGGCCGGGTGGCGCTCAGGAGCAGCGCAGGCGAGGTGCCGAGCTCAAGGACACAACAGCGGTGTCTCCCCTGGGACCTGCGTCCAGGGCCGGACCCGCCGGTCCACACCGCTGCCCTACATCTTCTTAAGCTGTCATGACTGGTAAGTTCCTGTGTTGCAGTGTTATGTAACTTCATGCATAACACCCTCCCCTGCCCCACTCCGAGCCTCAGATAACCTCATCCGAACTAAAGCAGATTTTAGCGTTAGGCGCCAGATAAGCTGCTGAGCATTTGAAACTGCAGCAGTATCTTTGAAACCTTGCAAGGAAGGGAACTGGTGGCCTGGGCTTAGGTGGGGAATGAGCAGCAGCTGGGCTTGCACACCAGCAAAGCCAGTACTTGCTGTGCCAGGAGCGGAGAGAACACGCAGACTCCCCACGGACAGGCACTTCAAGCTGGAATCCACACCAGGGGCTGTGTGGCAGTAGTGCAGCCCACGTCACAAGGAAAACCTCTGTCCCGAACCCTGTGAACGGTCCCAACGCATCAAAATCCTCCCCTGCAGGCACTAGCAGAAGCAGAACTCCCCTGTCTCCTCTGCTCCAGGCAGGCAGAGAACTCGACCTGCACACGAACACGAGGTCCAAGCCATTTATTCAACAAATCTGATGTTGGTAGAAACGGCAACATAAATACAATAAAGTTAATATAATAAAAAAATAACTTAACAGCAATGAAAACAAAAGTTACCGGTCAAACGTTTCTTACTCAAAATAATTCACTGCAATGGCATTCTGCAGAAGGCATCGTCATTGCTTATCCAAAAGTAAGGGTCCGAGCGCTTCTCTTTTAAATAAGAGTAACAGAAAAACAACAACAGCAATAGTCATGAAGATAACGGTAATAATTAACTCCAGAATCTCAAAACACCCCGTGTTTCCTGCTGTAATACCTAAAATGGGGACCGGCTCGGCCCGTGGCGTCTGTCCAGTTTCAGAGTCCCGGCTGAACCACAGATCCCCTCCTGCGAGGCTGATGAGCCCCCGGACACGGCCCACTTCCTGCTGCAGAGCAGGCCGGCCCCCAGTCTGCTGAGTCACGCCGCCGGCCCACGGCCCGCTGCTCCGCCGGGCCGGCTCCGCCTCTCCCAGCCCAGCTGCAAGTTATTTTCCACCAGCGTGAGAGGTGGTGGTGGTGGTGGTGGTGTTTTTCTTTTTTTTTTTTTGTGCCTCCTGAGTTCCTCAGCAGAGCATTCCGGCAATCCAGTGCAATTCATCGGAGAGAGGGAGAGAGAGGAAAACGAAGGGCTGGCGTCGCAGTCCGGCCCTCAGCGCTCGGGGAGATTGACGAGGGGCACCCACTGGTCCAGGCACCGGCTCTCCCTGCAGAAACCGTTCACTTTGCTCAAGGCGGGGTCTTTCCACGCCGACGAGTGTGGGTTCTAGGGGGGGGAGAGGAGGAGAAGGGGATATGAATAGGTGTGGTTTTGTTTAGCACTCTTTGAGGGCACCCCTGTGTAGAGGGCCGCAGTCCCAGAGCTCCCTTCCTCTGGGGGGCGCTGCAGGGGCCCTGAAGGGGCTGCTCTCCTCCTGGGTTCGGCCGGCTCTGTGCCACCCCTGCTGGGGCCCAGGGTTATCGCTTATTGACAGGCACCCAAACCCCCCCCCCGAGGTTCACAGGCACCAACCATCACAGCGCCGGCGGCGGAGACCAGTCAGTTAGTGCCTGTGGAGACCAGTCAGCCCCCCGCCTGCACCTCTCTGCCCCAACAGACACAGAGAGCACCAGCCGGCTCCCCTGCAGCGGCACGGGCAGGCGGGCGGGCACACTCACCGTGACCAGCACGCAGTGCAGGTCCTGGGGCTCCCCGCCCTGCTTGGCGGCCCCCAGGATCTCGGCCAGGCGCCCCATGTTGCCGACGCGCAGGATGTTGATGTCGTTCTCGCAGCAGAACGCCTGGATCAGCGTGAAGTGGATCTGCAGGGCCACGTCCTTGACGTCCTCCTCGTCCGTGGCCAGCAGACACAGCACCACGTTGTCCGGATCGCTGGACGGGAGGGCAGAACAACAACAACATCATCATCATCATCATCCTCCTCCTCCTCTCAGCGCGCCGCCCGGCCCCGGACCGGCCCCGGGGCTGCGGCCGGACCGGCAGCGGACACGGCGGAGGCGAAACTCACACGTTGAGCGACTTGGCCGCTTCGTAGACCCCGACCGTGATGCATCCCTGCGGCAACGCGGAGTGCAGCACTTCTTCCAAGGCTTTTCCCACGGAATCCATTCTGGAAAATAACAGGGATGGGGGGGAGGGAGAGGTGAGTCAAAGGAGGAGGAGAAGCGGCGTCGGTCCCGGCCGAACTTCCCCTCGACCTTTGAACAGCTTTTCCGTTACAGACGGTGTCCGTCGACGGTCTGCGAGCTCCGCCGTGTGCAGCCCCGCACCCCCACAGGACACGACACACGGAAGCCGAGCCCACGGTTGCGGGCAGGACCGACCTGGGTGGGAACCCCGACCGGACCCGACCGGACCGGCGTGCAGCCGGGCTGTCGCGAGCGCGACCCGCCCCGCGGCGCGAGCTCCCGGCCGCACGGGTGTCCCCGAGACCGGCCGCACCGCGACCCCCGACTTGATCTACACGGGCACCCGGCTCGGCTGCACCCCCAAGACACCCGTCCGCGCTTGGCTTTCGGAAAGCAACAGGGGTGCTGCGGGGCTGGAATGAATGAACCGTTGTTGTTGTTGTTGTTGTTGTTTTTAAAAAATAATACACGTCCAAAACACAAGGGTAGGCTCGGGACTGAAACTACCGCCGCCGGTGCAGTCACCTTTCTGCGGCGTGATCTCCACTGAGCTCCTCAAAAGTCATGGTGCACAATCAGATCCGGGAAGGTGGGGGGGTGGTGGGGGATACAATATCCAAGGTGGAGGTAGTCTCCCGGGAATCCCGGCGCTGCTCCAGGGAGAGTAATTCCCAGACAAGGCGAGGCGTCCGGCGGCTCCCGATTCTGTGCGCGTCTGTGCAACAGGCGCTCCGTGACTGCGGACGAGCTGTGCCGCTCGCCACCTCGGCACTACATCTGCCCCGATTTGCATGCGGGAGCTGATTGGCCCGGTGCTAATGAGGGAGGAGGTGTGACCCCGCAGGGCTGGGCCGCTGCGCTCTCGCCGCCCCTGCTGGCTGGTCTGATTGGAGCTCCGTCCTACAGCAGCCACAGCCCGGTGCACAGCGCCTCAGTCCAACAACTCGTCTTTTTAAATCCGTGCGCGGACACAGAGACAGAGGCAGAGGCAGAGGCAGAGAGAGAGCATGCAGGTTTCATTTGCATGCAGGTTTCCCCCGACAGACAGGAATGAGAACCCGAGAATAAGTTTTTCTGTGTGTTAGTGGATTGGAGCCCTGCACTGTCAAGTGGGATGGCTGTGCAGCTCAGCCCCGGGGGCGGTGCGTGCGGAGACAGCCGCTTTATTTGCAGTTTAAATACGTCGAAAGAATCTGGTGAATGGCGACCCCGAGTGGCCAAACCGAGGGAGCTCAGCCCACTCGGGTGGTGATTGATTGCCTTAGCGGGGTAATGGGGTCATTTGCACAGCCAGAACCAGACGTTGGTGGGCGAATAATGTGCTTGTCGGGGTGATAGGGATTAAAATGCAAATTAAATATAAGGCAGCGCAGACGGAGAGGGGGGTGTAGAGTTGAAAACCCGCGCTGAGTTAATAAGGCAGGGGGCGTCCGTTCCCACCGACGTCCTGCGCTTTCCGAGACGCCTCTGCCTGCAGTTCCGAGGCAGAAATAGAAGTTCGTGAAAAGACGCTTCCGGTCCGGTGACCCGGCAGCAGGAGGGCGGCGGGCGGCGCACCCGCGCGGGCCCCGGCAACAGGCTCCTGATTGGCCAGCCGCCCGTCCAGGCCGGCACGAGGCGGCACGGGGGATTTGAGCGCGAAAAACCAGGTACCCGCGAGACCCCGAGCGCGGGTGCGAAGGGCGACGTTTCTCGGGAGTCGGATTCTTCACGGCCGCTTCACACACGTCGATATTAACGTAAAGAAAATAAAATAACCGACTTACGATAGGTACACTTATTTTCCTCCTCGCACTTTGCTGTTCGAAACTCCCCATGCTCCCTGCGAAGGGCGCATGATAACGGCCTCTACACCGGTATCTGAAGTAACAAAACATAAAACAGTTTGAAATTGGTTAGTCCATAATTAATTTCAAATGCGTTTAACATAATCGCTATATTCACCGATTCCTTATTTCATTCCACATGAAATAAAAGTATAAACTAATGTTATATTAATACAATGCAGCGTGCGGATAAGTCCATTTTCGGTCAGTAAATTAATCAGCATGGTTGTGATAATGTTCCTGAAACTAAGGCAGCTGGCCTCTTGATTAATAGTGGTTATTTTTATTAGTCTTTGTTGTCAGACTCCATGCCTTTAAGATT